AAAAAAAAAAAAAAAAGCCTAAACCCTTGTTGATGGAAATTTAACACTAGAAATAGGATTCACTCTTTACAAGGGAGATAGGAGAGAACAAGGAGGAAGATTTTTGAGAGAGAAAACGTAAGATACGGAAGAAGATGAATGTAGAAGCAAGGAGAGACAAGATAGAAAGAAGAAGATGGTCATGTACCTTGTATAACCCTTTTTTTTAGTATTTTTAATATTTTGCTGATGTGGTTGCCACCTCATATTCATTCTTACTTTTGGTTCCTTTCTTTTTGTCTCATTTATCATTACTCTTTAAATTAAATGAAATATTCTTCCTTTTCTTGTACTTTATTTTCCTCAAATCAAACAACCTCTTAGAATATGTTTAGTCTGCATGAGAAATGGAGTAGAGCACAAAGGAAGGAAGGGATAAATGTTTTGACCAATCAAATTACACCATTAGACAAAATCATAATCTAATTAGTTATAAAAATCATCATTTCCATTCTCTCTATTTCTTCAAAGTTTCAAACTAAATATATTTTTAGGATGTGTTTGGTTGTCGACTTTTTGGAAAATGTAATTTGAGAAAGCCAAGTCAAAAAATGCTGTTTACTTAGTCCATGTAAATGCATATAGAAGCCTAAAACTAAAGTTAATTGCTTATCTATGTGTGGAGGGATGAATCTTGGAATTCACAATGTATGCAATGCCATGTTAGTAAGACCGGCTTTGGACTTGTAACTAGGAAAGGCTCACATGATCTATTTCCACATCAAATCTATTATATTTTATTTTTTGTTAATTATTACAATAGAGTTAGCATCACTAGAAGCGATGTTCATCTACTTCACAGAAATATTATAGACATGGTCTACTTCAATACCATTCTTATATACATGACCAGACTTGGTTGCATCTATCTCCACAACATGGTTGGATGTTTTTGATAGTCATGATCTTTACTGCAACATTCACTGCTACATCTCTTTGGCTTCTAACAATGGATAAAGAACCTGCTTGTCTATATCTACATGGCTCCCATCAAAGGACAACGAGCTGATTTTATTATATCTTCATAGCTCCTGGCTATGGACAAATGGCTAGATTTGTTGCTTTACATACCTCTGTCACTAGTTCCCATCAATGGACAATAGGCTTATTCTATTACATCTATCTAGCTCCTAGTGATGAACAAATGGCCAAATTTGTTGTCTTATTTAGCCACCAATGATGGGCAAAAAGACTACATACTTCTACACATCTTCATTACATTGGATCTCTACATATTCTATTCTTACTAGCTTTCAAAAATGAACAAAGAGTCAGCGCAACTCGGTATGATTAACTTGAGGTTGGTAATATGTAATAACCCACATATTTTTCCTGATTTTTGAGAATCAATATAATTAAATGTGCATAACCTAATTAATGGTTGGGATTAATTGCCAATTATGGGTATTTATGATCTTAAATTTTTATATTAAATTAAAGGTTTATTTAAAGATTGAATTTGGGATTAATGCATTTTAATTTAGGAATTTTTATTTCCCCAAATAAAATTCAGACGTGAAGTCTGCTACTCAACCCTATTCCATTCTCAAAATAAATTTGCTTTTACGTAGTAAACACCTCCTCCTAGATCCTATTGTCTTCTTCTCCTATAATTCAACCCTAAGATTTTAATGGTGAGTATATTTGTTCATCTTGATTTCTTGTTCTTTCTCATTTCCTCGGATCTTTATCACTAAACTCAATATTGTAATCCTCATATCTCTTTTTACACTTGTTATTAAGGTTTCATCTTAGATCTGACATCAAAATCTTAGATCTGATGAGTTTTTATGCTTTACCTCAAGGATTATTGGATTGGCAGTAGATGGTGTAAATACATATATATATATTTATTTATTGATTTATTAGTAGAAATTAAAGGGGGAAGGAGTTGTTATATAGTAGCACCCATGCGATTGCATGTGCGTGCTACTACGAGAGGATGATGGCAATGACGCCATCGCCTTGTTGGTTTGAGATTTGCAATAGTGTCGATAATCTAATCCTAGTAACAGATCAGATGTTGACACCTATTGGTCCATTAAATAATATGAATAAAAATAGTTGGGGCGAGTGGTGCTGTGCGATGTAGTACATGGGTGCTGTGTGACACGTTTAAGGGTTGATTCAATGGTGCCAACACCTTCAATTTTAATTAGTAAACAGGTGTAGACACTCATGTAGGAAATTTAATATGAAACTAATAAAATTAGATATCATTAAGTTAAATTAGGATTAGTAGTTTTGGATTGTTACTGATTAATATTAAATATAAATTTTAGGTTCTTAATTATTTGCGCATTTCAATTTTAAGATCTCCATTTTTGAGGTAAGTGAATTTATGGCTTTACCCTTGGTTTTTAAATAAAATTTTAAAACATGATTTGTATCGATTTTGAGATAGTGGCAGAATTAAGAACCCATTTTGGTTTAGTTACCATGACTAAATCTCATTTTATTTCATGTTGCATTTTATTTAATTAAGCAAGCCTATTTACAGAAAATTCTTAATACATGCTACTTGATTCCTGTGATATATGTTTTTCTTGAAATAAGCATGTTTACTTGAATTGCACTTGCTAGCCTGTTTTAGTCTCCATTATAGTCATGTTCTACTTGTGCCTGCTAGTGGAAGGTTTATAAATGCTACCACATGTCGACATGTTATTTGTGGAACTGGTTCATTCTTGTTATACTTGTTATCCTACTTATGGGATTATACATTGGTAAATCTTGTGCTCGCCAGTGGGAGGTTTATAAACTCAAGCCATAACTTATAGAGGAGATGTCCATTTTATTTCCCATACTTGTACCATTTTTTTCTTGATACTTGATTTATATTTATCGGCTTGCTTAATTTTAAAATTTATAAATAAAGAGAGGAAGTATAATATTCACTTATTGAGAGTATATCTCACGTTTTTCCTTGCCCACCATTTCAAGTAACGATACTAGAGACATTGGGGATCAGGGTGTGTGATGGATACTTATTAGAGCTGTTTAGACTTAGTGGATACTTGATTTAGTTCTTTTGGAATTATTATGAAGTTGAGGATTTAATTAGCAATTATTACATTATTTGACTTTGGAGGATTTATTTGAACATTGTTTGAATTTCAATTAAAATAGAGGTATTAGTAGACCATATTTAATTGTATTCGATTTTTGGATAGTAAATTAATTTGGTTCTGAGCCTGGTGCACTTGGGGATCCCACTCACAAATGTATGGCGTTTGTTCCGCTCCAAGGTTTAAGGCATGACATAATAGTTGCAACCTTGTGATTTGTTGGGATGCTACCCTCCAGCAATACAATCCATCAAATTATGATCAGCAACTTCTTGGTGGTCACCTGTGCATGGTGGTGTGGTACCAAACAAGCAACAACAACTAGGACCATTATCTAAAGGTGCGAGTATGACAAGAAGAGCTAACGTTTGATTGTGGTATCACACCTTGTCATATTGGAGACCATGGAGTTGCTTGGCATCCATTTTCCATAGACAAAACTCCATCCATTTTTATTACATATTCATCATGTCATAACTCAAAATTTGGTTAAATCCCTATTTTGGTTCCTGAACTATTGTACGGACCCTCGATTTGGTCCTTGAACTAAAGAAATCCCTAATTTGGTCCCTAAACTATTGTACGGACCCTCGATTTGGTCCCCACTGTTTATAATTTGGCCTAAGTTGGTCCTTGAACTATTGTATGGACCCCCAATTTGGTCCTTACTATTTACAATTTTGCCCCAATTTGATCCTTAAGTTATTATTTAACAGAAGGACCAAGTTAGGGCTACATCGGTAAACAGTAGGGACCAAATTGGGGATTTGTATAATAGTTTAGGAACTAACTCAGGGGTCCGTACAATAGTTGAGGGACCAACTCAAGGGTTCGTACAATAGTTCAAGTACCAAATTAGGGATTTATTTAGTTTAGGGACCAAATCGGGGGTTCGTACAATAGTTCAGGGACCAAAATAAGGGTTTAACCTAAAATTAATCAAAAAAATGTTTAAGTACCATTTTGGTCCCTCAACTTTTCACTTTGGCACAAAAATTGTCCCTCACCTTTAAAAAGTACCAAAATTATCCTTAAACTTTCATTTTTGGTACCAAAATGATCCTTCCGTCAGTTAAGTGACAGGTGGCAACGTTAAAATGCCACAAAATCAATTTAAAAAAAAAAATAATTACGTGGAAAACAAATCATACGAAAAGTGATGAAATGGCAATTTTTTTTTCCATGTGTCATATTTTTTCTATTTAAATAAAAAACTCACATAATATAATATAATATATTATATTGTTCATCTTCTTCCTTCATTCTTCTCTCTCATCTCTTCGGCTCTTCCTCTTTCCCAGCCTTCTTCCTCCTCTTCCATCCCTTCTTCCTCTTTTTCCTTCCTCCTTCGACCTTTTTCTTGTTGTTTCTCTCTCCCCTTTCTTCATCTTCCTCTTTCCCCTTCCAGATCTATGTGGGTTTTCCCTTAAGAACTCAGATCTAGGTTCTCTCTCTAAGAAAGAACCCAATTTTCAGTTCTAAGAAAACCATTCTCCATGAGAGCCATGGATCGATGATGGACTGCTCTGTGTAGACGCCTGGGGACGCTTGGGGCTGCCTGGGTTCGGCGTCGGTGGATGATGGGTATTTTAGAAGGAATTATTCAACCCTTGCTGCAGTTGTAGAAACAGTAGAGAGTGAAGAGGAAGAAGTTGGTGAAAGCGAGGGAGAGGAAAGTGATCAATGAGAAGAAAAGGAGGGTATAGATCTGGTTTTGTTCTTTTGCTTATTTTGTGTTTTCTATGTGTATTTTCTGAGTTGATTAAATGGTTTTCGTGTTGATTATTTTCGAGATTAGATCTGCATTTGGCTTTGGCTTGTATGTGATTTGGCTCGAATTGCTTTTTTTCTAGAAATTCTTTACTCTTTTTAATCTATGTTCCTTTCTGTTAGTTGGCTTAGGAGATCTCGGCTTTGCTGTTTAGTATATTCGAGATTAGTTTCCATGTTATGTGATGAAACCCATATCTGGGTTTGAGAAAAACCCAGATTTGGGTTTGAAAGAGGAAGAAGAAAGGAAAAGAGAGAGAGAGAGAGAGAAAGAATAAGAAGAAAAAGGAAGAAGGATGAGCAAGGAAAGGAAATGAGGAAGAAGATGAAGTTTGTGAGAGAACCTAGATTTGGGTTTGTAGAGGCAAGGGAAAAGGAAAGGTAAAAGAGAGAGAAAGTGAAAGAGGAAGAAGAGATGACGTCGATGGAAAAAAAGGATATCAAAATTTTTAAATTAAATAAAAATGCCACCTCATAAAAAAAGATGGCCAACTGTGTTTTTTTTTCCATGTCATTAGTCAAGCAAAAAAAGAATTGATTTTGTGGCATTTTAACGTGCCACCTATCATTTAACTGACGGAAGGACCATTTTGGTATCAAAAATGAAAGTTTAAGGATAATTTTGGTACTTTTTAAAGGTGAGGGACAATTTTGGTGCTAAAGTGAAAGTTGAGGGACCAAAATGGTACTTAAACCTCAACAAAATCATAAAAATTTATAAAATGTCAAAACAAACACAAAAATATAAAAATATGAATTTTTCTCTTTTCTTTAACTAATATATCTTTATTTTTGTTTTAGGTGCTGAATGCAAAAAGAAATTCAAGAAGAAATTGGAAAAGAAACTAATGAAAGAGGACTCAATTGAAAGAATTTAAAGTTTGAGGATAAGTTACAAAAATTATGCAAAAGCCTTGAAGTTCAACTCAATTACACCTCAAACCAATCTTAAATGGCCGAATTCCAACCCATCTCAAATGGCCCAACTCCGTCAAAAATCAACTCAAAAAAACACTAAACCCAAGTTTAGCCTAAACCCAACAAAAATCCTAGTTTTCCTTTCCCTTTTGAAGGGAAAGGAATGGACCAAAAAGAGGGGCGAAACCAGGGGCGGTAGACCAAAGAAAAGAAGAAGAGAGAAAAGCTCCCAATTCTTCTTCCTTCTGGAATCCCAATTTTGACCATCACCACCTTGTTTTCATTCTTTGATTGCTATCTCCATCATCATCATCATCATCCCTGTCATGCTCCAAAACCCAAATCCAGGGGCGAAACAAATGTCGTACACTTATCAGAGGATCCCATAAATGCACAAGGCTCGGAACTTACTAAATTCATAACTAACAATCCATGGAACAATTTTGCAAAAATCTCAAAATAAAATTTAGCTTGCAAACCTAATTACAAAATAAGCTAAGTCCAAATATATGTGGCTAGCCTAACTCCAAGATAATCTAAGTCTGAAATACAAATGGCTAGGCTTCTAGCTTGTCACTCTCGTCAGTTTTCCTGCATCTTTGGTTTTAGTACCTGAAACGGTGGATGAGGAAAAAAAACTCTATGAGATAACTCAATAACTAAAAATATGGATAGCCCTTAATTAAAAATTTATAGTATGCTAACAAGTGTAATCAAGTATCAAGGAAAAAATGAGTACAAGTACGAGAATGAAATAAACGTCTCCTCTATAGGTCATGGCCAACGTTTATAAACCTCCCACTAGTGGACACAATAGTAACCAGTGTATTATCCCACTGGCAAGAATACAGGATGAATCAGTTCCTAGGGATACATGTTGACATGTGCTAGCATTTATAATCCTCCCACTAGCGGGCACATAAAACATGACCATATTGGAGACAAAACCAGACAGGAGTTAACAGGAAAACCATATTTTACAAATAATATCCAGATCATCAGAATAATCAAATAAAATCCTTGAAGGCATCCTCAACTTAATAAACATATTAGCAACTTTATTTTAAATCAATCATGCTCATATGCTAAAAAAATCAGTTTAAATCCTGCCACCATCTCAAAAACAGTTTAAAAATATGCTTTTAAAGCTTTTGCCTTAAAATTCAAGGGCATTACCACAAATTTACTTACCTCGCCTTGTAGGTATACAAGAAGTAAGGAATTCAAGAAGTCAAGGTGCTTAAGGTGATTTAAACCTATATCACATCAAATAAATACTTAGAATATGCTTAAAATAGCTCTAAAAAGACACACAAATAGCAGGTATCCTAAACAGATTGTTTGGACAAAATAAGGTGGGAAATGGTGAGAAATTGAGCTTTTAGCTATTCTAGACATAGCAGAAGTATTGGGCAGCAAAGTGGAGGGTTTTTTGCCATTTAAAGTAGTCCCCAAATGCTTGGAATAAGCCCTGAATAGCAAGGATTTCTTGGCAAAAAACAACAACAAAACAGGGTAGAACACAAGCTAGAACTGAGCAAAAATGGACAAGCATTTAAGCAGCAAAAAGGGCAGCCAAAGTAAAGCAATAACAAAGGTTTTTAGAGCAAAAGAATAGCAACTAAAAGTCTACTAAAACATTGATGCAATGTAGCAATAGATAAAGTGGGAATAAAACAGAAAAGAGGGCAAATTTCTATCAAGTTCTAGTCAGACTTCGTGCTGAAATTACCAACAAAATTTACACTAAGAAATTAACCGATCTAGATTGAGTGTCAACAAATAAATTATAGCCCTATGTCTTAGCATTCTATATCCTTAAGTATTACCTTAATCCAACATCTATAGAGAGAGTTATGGCCAAAATACTAACGGAAGGTTGGGCTGCCATTATAGTCCACCTACAAGGACCAAAATTTCAGCAAAGTTTTTCACCTTGAAAACAGCTAAATTGGGTTAAATGTCCACTATAAAAATTGTAGGTTTACCTCTTTGCTTTCCATAGAATCAATAATGAACTCAAAACAATATCTACAAAAAGAGTTATGAGTAAATTACTACAAAAGGGTCATGTAGTTTGAATTTCTGGCAAGTAAAGGAAATCAATTTTTCATGGTATTTATCATGGACAAAATAAAGGGGAAACTACAAAAAATTTCTAAAATTTGGAAACCCTAATGGATTAAAGGTAATCCACTTCAAATCAAATATGAAAAGATGAGTACTATGGTTGATTTCTTACCAAAAAGTGCTGAAAATGGTGATGGACAGCAACCCAAAATAGATCAACAGATTAGAAGGTGCATGTAATACCCCAAAAATTGGTGATATTTTAGCATTTAATAAGGGACTTATTTGAGGGAAAGTATTGTTTTGGGGGTTAATCCTAAAATTGTAAAAAGTTAAGGGGCTAAAAAGAAAGGAAATTTGGATAAGGATCAAGGCTGATATTTTTGTCCTCAGCCACGTGTTTTGATTTTCTTCATCTTCATTTTTCTTCTCCCCGATGCTCTGCCTCCCCGACCAAACCCCCCCAAGCCACCAACTCTCTCCCCCTTGAAAAACCCGGTGAGATCTTGATGAAATTTCTCTTCTTTTCTTGTTAAATCACAAGATTTGGGGCTTAGAATCTTCCCTCTCAAACCAGAAATCTCGGATTTGCTCTGCTTCTTCCTCCCTTCTCCGTCGGGTTCTGCTGGGTTTGAATCCTTCGGCTTTTTCTGGTAAGAAGCAGCCTTGAATTCATCCTTTCTCTCTTCATTTGGCTTGGGTTATTCTAATTTTGTTATTGGTTCTTGAATTTCTGGAGTTTGCCGTGAGTTTTCCCCCATGGATCCCGTTGGCTTCCTCATCAGCCAAGCTCGGGTTCTGCTGGCTGGAATTCTGGTAAGTTGCCGACTTTTCCAAGCTTAAAATTACCCATTTAATTGCTGGGTTTTGTCCATTAGTTGATGCTCTGTGTTGTCCAAATCTGCTGGGATAGGGGATGAATTTGGTAGCCCTTTTAAATGTGTTTTAAGCTTGATTATGTAGAATTTAGCTTGAATTAGCCGCTGTGATGTTTTGTGCGAGAAATCCCGTGTGTGTGAGTTGTGGGTTGCCAAGGTCATGCCCTCCATGTGCTGCCCGTGAGGTTGGGGAAATTTTGGTAGCTTTAAGCTATGTTTTAAGTGTGGTTTAAGTGGGAAATTAGCTTGGTTTGGGTTGTTGTGATTTTGGAGAAAAATCCCGTGAGATTAGTTATTGTTTCGCCAATTTCGGAAGTTGAAGTTACTGTTCACGAGGTACTGTTCACGGGGCACTATTCACACACCGAGGGTCAACGATTAACGGGGATTTAAATGATTAGTTTGTGATATAAGAATGAATGTGGAGATTGATAGAAATAGCACCGTGATTAGGGGTAGTGATAATGATGATTTCCCTGTGAATTTGTGGTAATACGGTATTAATTCTTGGATATTGTGATTAGGTTTTGATCGTTTTGTCACCGTAGCACTTGGGTTAGCCTTCTGTTTTGTGCGAGTAAGGTAAGTAAATTATGGTAAAGCCCTTCGATTTTAAAGCATGTTTTCAATTGTTTTTGAGATGGTGGCAAGGTTTAAATTGATTTTATCAGCATCTGAATGTGATTAAACTGAAATGGAAATTGTGATGGTTTTTATGAGAATTTCACTGTTTTCTGGAATTGAGCATGATTGAAATGGAAAGTGAGAATTTCATTGTTTTTCTGGAGTTATTGCACCGAGCATGATTGGTTTGAAATGAAACTGTTTTCATTGGTATTGAGTAGAGCATGCCTATTTGGAATTGACTGAACTGTTTTGATGAACTGAGGGTTTACAAATTTTGTGTTTTCTGATAAATCCATGCCCACATGGATTTTTCTGGTTATTTCTGAAATTGGGATTGATTGTGAAATTCGGGTTCTCTGTAAACTCTGCATGGTTTTGTCTCAGATATAGTCATGATTACTGATTACTGTGCCCGCTAGTGGGAGGTTTATAAACGCTAGCACATGTCGACATGCTTACTGATATGATCGGTCCATTCTGTAACCCTACCAATGGGGTTAAACATTGGTACTATTACTGTGCCCGCCAGTGGGAGGTTTATAAACGCTGGCCATGACTTATAGATGAGACTACTAAACTTAGTTTTATTCTGCATGAACGGTTTGTCATGAAGGCTTTGATATCGAACTGAATCTGATTCTGTTTAAATGGTTTGTCATTGAATGTTTTGCTATTGAATGGAATTTGATTCCGCATTAACGATTTATCATTGAAAGTTCTGTTATGTTTACATGGTTTGTCTGGCAAGCTTAAAAGTTTTACCCAAGGGCTATCCATATTTACTTACTGAGTTATCTCATAGTTTTCCTTGTCCACCATTTCAGGAAGTGATACCTAGGACGGGGAAACTGAGGGGAGTGACGAGTTAGAAGGCTAGCCATCGTGTAAATTGAATATGGATTTTAGATATGAATGATGATCTTGTAAGCGAGATTTTAATTGGAGATTGTAATTTCATTTAGTGGATTGTTAGTTTTTAAGATTTTATCTTCAGATTTTGATGGTGTCAGATTGTGAATTGGATAAGTTTTGAGCCTTGTGCACTTGCGGGACCCGTCTCACGAGTGCACGGCGTCTGTCGCGCCTCGGATTCGGGTTTTGGGGCATTACAGATAAAGTGGTATCAGAGCTTAGGTTTGATTAAGATTTTGTGATGTGAGAGCCTAGGTTTAAGTGAATACCTAGGATATGTTTTGAACTTGGCTAGTTAATGGATTTAGAACCGTGGTGAGAAGAGTGATGGGGTATATAGGGGACGATTTTGATTTGTGTTGCTTGAATTTTCTGATCCGCTTTGATGAGATAGTAATTCAGTTAGTTCCTCTTATCTGCCATGGGCGAGAATTTTTGAAATTTATCTCGCTCACTATGCTCGTAGGACCTTGTTTGAAACTTGTTCCCTTGTGATAGTGTGCTTGGTTTTGGTTGTGGCAGGATGTATAAGGCCTTCCACATTAGGTCTGTTTGTTTGAGTATTCATCGGGGCATTCATACGTGAATGCAAACATGGACATTCATGAGCATATACAGGCATACATGCATACACACATGGGCATTCATACATGCATGCATAAAGGCATTCATTCATACATGCATATGCATGCATTCATCCGTTCATGATTCTGGGTATCCGAGTGATGCTTATCCGTCTCGGATAGGGTTCCATCTTTTAGTTGGACTCATCATTAAATTCCTTGCCATGTTGTGTTTGATGGGTGCTGGGTCTTGATTTGAGTCAAGGGCACCACATAATCATGCCAATAACTCTCGAGTTTAGTTACTTGTATTGAGGCGTGAAGTTATCTCTCGCTTCCCAAATGGCCATTGGGGAGGGCGGAGATTGAGAATTGTCATCGTTGTGGTTTGATATTAGAGTGGCGCAGCGGAAG